TTTGTATGGTTCCACTGTGTCTGTTTTAGCTTTAGTACAGCTGTTCAAGGCAGGCATAGATGAGGTTGAAGCCATAGCTCACTGTTCCAGCTAAACAAACACCTTTTACCTCAGGTACTTTCTCAGGAAATGCATAGTCTGGAGTCGGAGCAGCAGAGACACGGGTTTGATGAGGAGCAAGGAAAGGAAGAACATCAGAAATATGGAGCTAGCGCTGCCACAAACGATTATTTTGATAGTCGACTAGTCACCGATTGTTTTTGCGATTAGTCGACTAATCAGATCATGGATCCATTGGACGTAAAACATACAGCTTATTCCACTAGCATGCATCTGCTTTTATATAACTATCAGCTTACAGCTTGAAGTGTTTAAGGTATGTGCTAACTAAAAATAAAGACAAGATCACAGTTTATTAAACTTTTAATGAAATTGAGATTGTCTCGGTGGAGTTTAATAAACTCAGCCGTCTGCTCCTTGCTATCTAAAATATAACAGGACACTGGAGTAAACTCTAGACCATCTCACACTTCTGTTTAATCAGTTGTCTGCTTGACGTTTATTCGGCTGTGTGAAAACTATAACTTTAATCTCAGCCAAACCGATTTACTCAGGAACAAATAAAACGCTGAAAAAGCCAAATAATAACATTTTTAAGTTATCTAAGTGACTTATATATCGCGGGGGGTTTGAAAACGATGTGCCGGGAGTTGAACCTTGACCTCCGGGCCAGCTCATCTCCGAAAATGTCGGAGCACTTTTGTAAATATGTGATGTCTTGATAAATCAACCAGATATTTGATGTTTACACAGCTACATTCTCGCCTGAAAATATCCGAAAACTTTATTTTGTGACCCAAAAAGAGTAATATTAAAACTAAGTAGCTGCCGCCATCGTTGGAAACTGGAATTGGCTGAGACGCGCTATGAATTCTGGGATAGGTTGGGTCACGAAGGACACACCCGACCCATCCTTCAAATCTGGGGAAATTAAGGACGCATTTGTCGGCTGCATTTGGAGAAGTCTTCGAGTTTGGACAGCCTTCGTCGCGTCGCTGTAATGTAATCGGCCTACAAATGCAGCCCCTGAATTTGGACACAGCTACGATACTGGAGACTGCTTCTTCTTCTTCTTCTGTGTTTAACAGCAGCTGGCATCCTTGTAGATGTAGTGCTGCCATCTTCTGTTTCAGTCCGTTATTACACTCTTAAATCCTACTATTTATTCCTGCGTTTCAGGATCTCACAAAGCTTCAAAGGACGCGTCGACTATTGAATTAGTTGTCGGCGATTTCGATAGTTGCCGTAATCGTGACTAGTCGACGAATCGTGGCAGCCCTATCTGAAGCCAATACAGTACCTAGAAAACCTGCACAGGTGTGGTTGTTGCTGTCGTTGTTTACAACACTTTTTGTACTTGCATGGGATTTTGAATATGCACATTTCTCTGAGTCTGCAGACTTTAACTGAAGACTTTTGACTGTTTTTTGGCTAAACAAAAACCTGTTTTCGGTTTTTGACTAACCTAAAACGGTAAAGGTACAGTAAGCAGTGGAAAGAAATGTAGTTGTGCAGTTTATTGTTATGTCACAGTATCTGCTCTTGTGGTCATTTATTGCATGGTTTTAGAGTTTCACTCAAATAAAACACATGCTTGACTTTTGGTACTCTCTTGAATGAAACTATTTGACTTTTGCGACCATTCATCGGATTATTTCTTGAAGCATCCAGAGTTGACAGTGGTGAAGCTTTTTAGACACTTTTGTTAATGATGATCTTCTATGTAATAGATAAATGAGGCTTTTGTTTCTGCAGAGCACGGGCTACATATGAGCTGTTTTTGTGTTACTGGCTATCAGGTTTCTTTAACCATTTCAAAGAAGACTGGGCCTCTTCATTTTATGGGAAATGTCTTTTTTTTACCATTTGTACCATCTTCTTATGATGGAAACATTTGATCGGGCAAATTGTCTGTGTACGTTTACAGATAACTTGCTGATGTGATATGTATTTTCAAAAATGTCTTTTCAGGGTAGGAGGATGTTAGTCAAAGTGAAGTTTCAAAGTTAGTCGCATCAAAGAGTGAAACTAACATTCAGTCTTTCCGCACGTCATATTTGTGTTACTTGGGTTTTTTGGCCTTTGGGATTCTACAGCTGCTCAGGGTTCGACGTATATTTAAAAAGAAATGAAGCATGATTATGATCATGAAAAAATAAGTGTGCATATTTGTAGCCAAATTGGCAGTAGAAAAAAAAAAATGGCTGGCGTGTTTGCGTGAAGGAGAGAGGCGAACGAACGAAAAACAAAAGTACCCCAAAGGGAAAATTTGATCAGTCCTTCTTTTTTTAGTAAACAAAACAAGTGACAAGTTAAAAGAAAAGTGTGTGTGTGTGTGTGTGTGTGTGTGTGTGTGTGTGTGTGTGTGTGTGTGTGTGATAAGAACTATCATCACATAGAAAAGCACACGTTAAGTAGAAAATCCAGGTCATTATACATATATTCTTTGCACACCCACAACATTCACGGAGAAATAAAGTCAAGAGAATGACATGGCAAGAAAAGACAATTATGATGATGGCCTCTGTTTCCCATGGAAATGAGTTTGTTTCCACACTGAGACACAGTCACACTTTCAGTTCAGTTGAAGCCGCCATAGTGAGTGTCTCTCTACGCTCTTTCTTATTATGTTCAAGCCAGCTGGCGTGTATGTTTGTTTGTTTGCCACGTGCGATGTCTGCGTGTTTTGTGCTGCCACATGGCCCGACTTAATCCAATAAGCTGAACGGACCTATCGTCTCCCACGGGCTTGCAGTGAAGACCTATGATCTCTCTCACACACACACACACACACACACACACACACACTCACACACACACACACACACACACACACACACACACACACACTGCTTTCTGTGCAGGCTAATAAAATGCTAAATGTGTCTTGCATTACTACTGGATATTGTGTGATTGCATCTGTTGTGACAGAAGTTGTCTTAAAGTACCTGTTAGGGAGTTTTTATTGTTTTATTTGATTATGCTTCAAATGTTATGTTATACATATTTCACCAGACACAGTTTTCTGTAGAAACAGGAAGCTGACCCTGTGACACTGACACTTACTGCAAGAGACTAGTACAGAAATACATATCCGCAGAAGTTGACTTGCATTATATTATTCTTAGAAATTGACTTGCAACACACATACTTTGTGACACACACACACAGCTTACACACAGACAGCATCAGGACCTGCGTAACAGGAAATGTGATTATATTTGCATATTGACGATGTAACCTATAAAAATAAACGAATGCTGCAGTACGGGGTGACTCTGAGTTTCACCCGTGCCGCACGTTATCAATCTCAAGTGTCTCAGTGTTGTTTACTCACCTGACTGTTTGTTAACTGTAAATCTCTGACAGTACCAGTTAGTGCATAATGAACTGTGACGTCTTGCCCTGTGGCAGTAACATTAACATACATTCTGAATTTGCTGCTTAGCTACATCTCCTAACGCCGGTTCAGAACTGGAACAGGCCAGACCTCAGACCAGCGGAGAGGAAGAACTGCAACTGCAACTTGCCTTGGCCATGAGCAGAGAGGCTGCAGAGCAGGTATGCACACTTTGTCGCACATGCGTATGCTAACATGCCAGACATGGCTGTTTCAAGTCGAGGTGGGCAGATTGATTTGAATATCGAATATATGTCAGAATACTTTAATAATCCCAAAGGAAACTGGATAGCAGCATTGGTGTCAGTATCAGTTTCTATCATTAAAGTTTGTTTGTGTTTTTGTTTTTTTGTTTTTTTTTAATGAAAAGGAGGGGAAAAAATACCTTAAACTTCCACTATCAAAAATGTCTGAAACCTTATGTGTTAACGGTCATGTCAACTATAGGACATTGAGTTGACTTGTGTTGTTTAAAAGTGCTTCATGGCATTCTCACACCAATAGTTTGTTTTCTCCGTATCAGCTTTTGCCCCATGGTTTGTGCATCACTGCCAGCAACATGAGAATGTTCAATTCACCTTTTGGCCTGATGTGTCCGGCCAATAAGCGGAAGGAAGAAAAATAAAAAATAAAGGTGGTGTGTTCTGGACTTCTGGAGAATATGGAGAAACTACGTTAATTTAACGTAAAGTTTCTAGCCCATAAAGACATTTGCAGACCTCTAGTACCGTGCCACATCCTAAAGAACAAAGCATACGTGGCAGTGGCAAGTTGTTTAGCTCAGAATTGCGATATACTTCTGGTAGTTGGTTCAGATTGGGGGCCAAAGGGGAAAATGAACCAGAGTTTGATTAAAGCTGACTAAACGCAGCAGGTGTGAAAACAACCTTAGAGAAAGGCACTCTTATATTCCAGGTCTTCAAAAAGCCCATATTCAAAAACAGCTGAAAGGAGTGTTTTGTTGTGTTAACTAATTATTTATATAGGAAAGAAATCACAGTGATTTAGTGGTCATTAAAATGTCTTCAGAGTCATGAGCTTTGTATGTAAGCTACCCTTCTAAGTCCACAATTGGCATTATTGGCCCTGTATTTACTTTGCATTAGCTTGATGTCAATATTTTCAGTATTGCACAGCGCTAGTTTTCAGTAAACATACAATAAATGAGCCTATTTTGCAGTAAAAATAAGATTAGTAGTACAAAAACACATCTTTAATTGAACATCACTTTGAAAAATGTCATGTTGAGAAGAATGAGATAAGTTACACATGGGTTGGTCTTTCTGTGTGTGTGCAGGAGGAGCGCATACGCCGAGGAGATGACCTGAGACTACAAATGGCCTTAGAGGAGAGTAAGAAAGAAGGCCCAGGCTCTGCAAAAGTTGCCAAGAAGAAAAAAGAGGTAAAAAGCACATAAGCGTAGTGGTTGCGGTGACTCAGTTATTCCATTATCGCAAACACGCTCCTGAAATAGTCTTGTCTCTCCCCATCTCCCTTTTCTGCCTCACCCTGTCTGCTCCCTTCAGTAGCCGTAATGAAGCTGCTAACTGGCAGCAGACTGCCGAGTTTATTTGTCATTATTCTGCCTGAATAAGTGCCCGGCTGCAGTTTGAGGCCACGGAGAGATAAAGAGTTGAAGACGTACGGTTGCACGACAATGACTCATGTTGTTCTCAATGCGTAATGACATAACTACCCTTTATGTTTGAACAGTATTCATGTGCAGGATAATGGCCAACGGATTGTCTTTCCTACTTTTTTCCATTTCATATATTCCGTGTATATCTTCAATCACCCCCTTTGTATATTTCCTCTTTTGTCTCCATGCTTAATTTTCCTTTTATCTGGTCTCCTGTCGTTTTGTTATTTTCTAACCCATGGGTCTCTCTTTGTAGCCACAGTCCACTTTGATGGATCTAATGGATGTCCCCGAGCCTGGTGCCAGTGCTGACCCCTGGGGCACGGGAGCTGGGGCCGGAGCTGCTGCTGCATCAGCTGACCCATGGCAGCCTTATGGTATATACATACACACACTCTTGCTTTCTTGAAAGTTGTTACATCATGTGAGATCTACATACTAGGGCTGGGCCATATTATACTGTTCAAGGTAATACAAAGCTAGGCAACGATAAGAAAATGACATCACGGTAGAATATGGGTAAAACGCGCATGCGCAGTGCCGAAAAAGCACGGAGAATGCACGGTAACGGAGAATGTGAATGGGGAAAGTAGATCGAGTGAAAAGGATGATCCAGAATTGTTTTGTAAAAATGGTGCAGCTTAACTGGTTTGGTGTTTGTCCGTCAGATACACAACAAAGCACTTTTTTTTTGTAGAACATGCAAGTGGGGCCGCTGTATTTGTCGACTAAGGTGCTTGTAAATCTGGAAGTAATCTGGGTCCTAAACTCCGTCCTTTAAAGTTCCGAAGTCAAACAAACGTCACTGAGAGTTTAAAACTGTCTAAATTCTTTCACCTTTAATGAAATGATCATCATTGCTGCTTTACCAGGTGTAACTATGAAGTTTAACATCCAGGCATCCATGAAAACAGAATTCGGAGTTAGAAGTTAGCAGGAAGTTAGCGGAAGTTAGCTCGCTAGTTTCGCTAGTTACCTAAACATGATATAGCATGTTCTGACTGAGAGATTTCTGAAAAAATTCAAACGTACAGCTCTGCTATCACTTCCAACATAAATGAAGACAGGAAACTAAACAGCAGTGACGTTTGTAGGGTTACTGAAGTTGGGCTAGCTGGTATATAATGATGTGCTACGTGATCGCTAGCGACACAGCTATGTTAGCACAACATAAACAGTGAAGCTCGAGGATGAACGCTAACAATTTTCCACTCGATAAAAGTTAACGTGAAGGTTCCTCATGGTTAGAGACAAATGCAATCGCATGGCAGGATGCTGTAAACGGACCAAACTTCAGTCAGGAGAACAATTGAGACAATCCATCCACAATACGAGGTTAGTCATTAATATACTGCAACAACATGGGAATAGAGCAGCTGTGATAGAATACAGCATTAATGAATCAAAGATACAGAAGTGGAAGAAGCAAGAAGAATGAGTTGAATAAAGTTTGATTTATCTGACTGCTTTGTTTCGCTTAATGTGCCTTATAATCCCGTGCACTTTATGGTCCGAGAAATACGTATTTGACTTTTTTATTTGGCACACTGTGGTTTCATGTTGCAAAGCACCTCTTTTTAACTTCAGTGGATATTATACATGGTTATGCTCAGGATATGTCAGCCCATTTCTACTGGAAATGCCTTTTGGTTAAACTTTCAGCAAGGAATTTGCATTTGCACTGTTAAATTTTTATATAGCTTTAATGCACATGAAAACAGCTACTTGTTTAAGTAAAATGAATGGATCAGGTTTTTTTGCACTAGTAAAGTTGTGGAGTTGTATTTTGTCTCGCAGAAATTATATCGTTATCGCAAATTTTCCAAATATATATCGTGATATATATTTTTGACCATATCGCCCTGCTCTACTACATACTATCACTGAAAAGTTTGTGTGCATGTGTGTGAAAGAGATTTCTGCTCTCCACCTGCCGCTTGCAGGACTGTGACTCTTTGTTACACAGGAATGCTGCTCCACTGGCTCAGCAGCATTTCTGCACTGAGGGTTGGGGAGGGTGAGAGTTAGCGGAAGACATTGTGAAGGAAGGGATCATGATGCTGGGAGAAAAGCAGGCTCGGGGAGTCAGATATGTAATAGTCCTCTGTCATGATGAGGTTGGCGTGTGAGAGGGAGTGTCTATGTGGATCGATTGAACTGAAATGAACTATGCAGTAATTACTCAGTTTATTTCAGTATTTGTTAGTCTCGGGTTTACAGAAAATTTGTTTAAATGTTTGATTAAGGAAGGGCATGATAGTTTCTGTTGCAGCATAATCACAGACAAAATCACATATGTGAGATTTTTAGATAATTATAACACAGATTCTTTGGAGTCCTAAATGAAATCACATGATCCCTCGCACTGTTTGCTCTCTGTACTCTGTGAAATGTACCTAATGATAAAATTTGAGGACTGTTGAAAGAGCGGCAGCCCAGAAATGAGGGAGCTTACTGCGTTTTTATCCCTTATCTGTCGTGTGTTTGGTTGACCGTTCATTCTGGATTCTGTGATGTAATTCGGTAACATAAATAATTTTTCAAGGATAAGGTGCTTGTTGGTTTTCCTTCCTCAACTCGAGCTGGACTGATGTATTAAGTGAGGCCCAGGGGGGCTCAGCGCATTAAATTAACCCTGCTTTTCACCAATTCACTCCCCTCTCTTTACCTGTATTTACCTTTAATCCCTCACCCACAGAACATTGAATGTCTCCCCTTCCCTCCAGGATCTGCCCCTAAGCCAGCAACCTCAGTGGACCCATGGGGCACTTCTACTGTCCCACCCATCAAGAGCAGCGATCCCTGGGCGCCCAACTCCATTCCTGCTTCTGACCCATGGGGTTCTGCAGCAGCCCGCCCCAAACCCTCCAACACAGGTAACCTTCTCTCTCTCTCTCTCTCTCTCTCT